GAGGAGTGGCTGGTGGGTTTGAACCGCCAGCCTTCTGGTACCAACTAGAAAAAGCAAACGGATGGGAAGGATGGGCTGCTCAGCTGAAGATGGAAGCCTGAAGAGATATTATCAGCAGTCAAGGGCCAGGTAAAAACAGCTGCCCTCCACTGGCTGAAGCCTTCCCCAGTGGCCCCGCTGCCTGCTGGGGTTCCCTAGAAGCCCCGAAGGGTCTCAGATGGTTCCCTTCCCCAGCCACATGTTTGGGTGTGGCCTGTTTCATTCCATCCCAAGTTTCTCCTTCTTCCTGCCCCAAGCTTGCAGGCGGGTGTTTCCCTTGATCTTCAACCTCTGGCCCAATGAGCAAATGCCAGTGACCACCACAGATAAAGTAATGCTGCTCTTTTGAGAAAGGCAAACTTGGGCCAGAGCCTAAAGGCCCAGGAGACAGCAGCTACCTCAAAAACTCTGTGTGCATCACAGGGGCAGAGCAGGGAGGGAATGGCAGCTGCCTGATGAGGGGCTGTGTCCTTGCACGTGTGTAATACCACAAGAGGTGACAAAGCTCTTAGGGGCGGGTTTCTGGCAGGGTTAAGACAAAGCAAGGGAGAAGAAGGAGACCTTAAAAAAAGACAAGTCAAAAAACACCCGCGGTTGGGGTCCCAAATGAGGGCTGGCTTTGTCCAATCAGTTTTACATCTGGTTTAGGCAAGTGAGTTCTCCCTCTGGGGAAAGGATAGGCTAGCATTTTGGCTAAGAGAGTGAGCTATGAACAGGTGGAGAAAGGATACCTCTACAGGGCTATACCTGTCTCTGTCTTTGAGAAGAGAAGTAAAACCCAAACCAAATCTCTGAGCCACATAGTCACGGGTGGGAGGAAAACAGCTAAACACTTACCCAACACAGAACTGCTGTAAAAGTCCCAGGAGACTCCAGGATCCCCCTCGGCCCGGCCCTGGAGATCCGAGAGGTGATCTGATGAAGGAAAGAAGGCATGAGACAAGGGGGGTGGGCTGGAGGAGGACTCTGGAAGCAACATACACGCACCTGGGGCTAGGAGAATGGGAAAAGGAAGGAAAGACCACAAGAGGGGCTTGGGGTGACAACAGAGATGCTTCCTGCTCTCAACTAGAGGTCGTGAACCAGCTGAAGAACTGGGTTTGTTGCCCCGGTGTTAAAACAAAAAAGTTGAATTAATGTCCCACATTTTAAAATTGGGAGGTTTCACATAAAAATCCTGATTTCCAACTTTTCTAGAAAAGTCAGAAAATCTGGCAACACTGTGTCCACATTCCTGTATGTCAACAGTTGGCTGGAGGGAGAGGGGACATGCGCTCTCTCTAATTCACCCGTCCACACCCAGCAGTTTCTCTTTTACACGATCAGCCTGACAGCAGTCTGGGTTGTGACCCCCGCCTTAAATGATGTAGGGAACCACTCTGCTAGCAGAATCCTAGACCTATCCGAGGAACTGACTTCACAATGTTCATATATCCACCCGTGGTCTCTCCAATTTACAGTAAGCATTAAGTGAGCTTATTTCCTTCAGTTTCACCTTTGAAAACATGGGAGAAATGGCTAGCTTTATCCTCACAAAAACCTTTCACTTTCACTCCTAGGTATATATCCAAAAGAACCAAAAGCAGATATTCAAACAAAAACTTGTACACCAGTGTTCACTGCAGTACTGTTCACAACAGCCACAAGGTAGAAACAAGCCAAGTGTCCAACAGACGAATGGATAAACAAAATGTGGTCCATACATACAATGGAATATTATTCAGCCATGCCATAAAGAGAAATGATATATGCTATAATATGGATGAACCTTGAAAACATCATGTTGTTGTTGTTGTTATGTGCCGCCGAGTTGGACCCAACTCACAGCGACCCCTCCTTGGGTTGCCGAGGAAGTATCACTACAGAAGTAGATTGCCCCACCTTCCGAGGAGTGGCTGGTGGGTTTGAACCACCAGCCTTCTGGTTAGCAGTCAAGTGCCTTAGGC